TGTGTGTGTGTGTGTGTGTGTGTGTGTGTGTGTGTGTGTGTGTGTTCGTTCTGAAACTCTTCTGCCTTGTGGCCTCAGAGCTCCTTGTCTCTGTATTCTAAAGGCAGACTCAACCCTGTGTGTTTTTCCCCAGACATTAGCAAGAGGGTGAGCAGAAATGAAAAATGAGACTTTATGTCACTGGTTTTATGATAACCAGTTAATGTGGAATCTGTCTACTCTTCCCTTACCACAGCTTTCTAACTCTCGTGAAAGCCATAAAAATTTTCATGTAACTGTTGCAGCTCATGTCTGTCTGTGTGTGTGTAAGCTACCACATACATGTGGTGATTGACAGATATAGTTAATTTTACTTAGGTGGGTTTTTATATCTCAGACATACGCATTTATGGTAGTTTTTTATCCCACCGTGTGTATAACAAACAGCCTTGCAGGTAACTGGCCAGGAGCGTTGCGCACATGGAATTGGTTACCTTTTCCTGCCTGTTCACCACCTGTGGGAGAGGGGAGCAGGATGATGGAAGCGCTGCATAGTTCAAGCTTGTTACCGCTGATCCTGCGTGGTAAGCGAGGTTAACGCATCCTGTCATTCTCCAGGATAAACACCAAGAAACACAAATTTCTCCTTTAAATTTGGTGATTTTGCATAGGATGGACACAAAGGGTTATTATGAATTTCCCTTCCCAGAAGGTGAATGTTTCCTTTCATCTTAGAAGTTTCATAAAATAAAAAATAGCTTTTCCTCCCTGAGAATTAGAATGCCAGTTCCTTGTAACCACCAAGTAATTTCAAAGCCTGCCCTTGAGAACTGGGAGTGAGAACTGGCTCAAGTGTATACCTCAGCGGTCCCTCAGGACGTGCTACCAGTTTATTCAGTAACTGAAGGGCTTAGGGACGGACCTTTGATACACTTGGTTTTCTTTCGTGCCTTAGTTTCTCTGACTGGCAGAGGCATTCACTTTGGGAGAGGAATAAGAGTGGGACTACTGAGGAAGGTTTGGAAACGGCCTTTGTGGAGATGGGGCACGTATGAAGTGGTCCAAGGCTGACCTTTATTGATCAGAATTATCCTGCATTGAATCAGACTCCTAGGTAAAAGGACTATAATGAGGATTTTCATGTTAGGCTCACCAAAAAGCTAGATGTGTAATGTTCTTTGCTATACCATTGGTGGTGTGATGGTTAAAGGAGAAAAAGTGGTCAAGAAAATCTTACATGCATGAAAGGAAATTGGTACTTTCTTGAAGGCTATGCAATATGCATATGAGTCTTTGAACACGGATTCATTGCTACATGTTTGGTTCAGTCATCAAACATTGTGTACCAGGCAAACCTGCCCTTGTGAAGCCTGCAGTTGGGAGACATGAAACAAATCTTAGCTCTCCAAAAACAAGATCTGTTGTTTCCTATTAGCATGCTTTTATTTTTTAAAGTTGTATTAGAGTGATTTGGCTCTCGCTAACAGCAGATGCAAAATCAGGCTCATATGGAATCTGACATGAACCAAAAACTATTTAAAGGGGGTAAGGGATCAGAGAGAGCAACAGGAAATGGAATGTCTGCTAGAAATACCTAAAGAGATCAGGTATGTTGAAGTCAGGTCACAATGGAATGGGAGGAGTGGGCAAGATGGACATGAAATGAGTAGTTGGGCTTCCATCAGGGTCTCCTCCTGTCCAGGGTAGAGGTGGGAGGTTGGCCACAGCACCCCCACACACCCTACACCCCCACCCCCACCCCCAGCATCTGTGAGCACGGCTGTTCTGAAATACTGACCATCTGAGCTAACAAGATTTAGCAGAGGGTTCTGCAGGATGTGCTATTATAAGGCAGCCAACTGCAGTGTGTGAAGACAAATCTAGAGCAGAGAATGTAGCAAGGAATGGTTCCCAGAATGGGTGGTGAGCGGACTGATTGACAGGACTTGAGGCTCTATCGAATCTACAGGACAGCTCTATGAAAGGATTGGTCTTTGACCTGTTAATTAAAATACCACAATCTATGTTGTATTCCTGAAGCACACAGAGAGCTGGATCTTAACTACTAGTGACTCTTGTGTTTTATAGTTACAGAAAACTTCCTCAAAGATTTAGCAGTTTATATTGGTTACACCTGGACCCTTTGGGGGTAATAAAGTGTGAAGATACAGCTGGTAGGTTATAGGGCATCATTTTGGGGGATTAAATCTGCAAATAAATGGTTTAGGGGCATAGGGGTTAGATAATGACTTTGTATTTTTTTGCCATAGGGTTTGTGAGCTCACTGGAGAGACAGAATAAGAGGGAAAGTGAGAAATCACCCA